GCTATTCTTGGCCGATTCCGAATGGCCGTGCTTGCGCATGGTACAGTCCCGATTCCCCCTGCTACTCGTTAGCGCCCCAAAACATAACGGAATCCCGGAGTCACTGCTCGGGCGCCATCTGTAAGGAAGCGATCCTGGGCGGGGGTACATATCTCAGTCTACTCCAGGGTCGACATTACAGTAATATTTATAATTTGCCGGGACTCCGTATTTCGGACCGACGATGGGGACGGGGCGGCAGTCCCGCGGACGGGAGCGATCGTAGCGTGGGACGTGGCAGTCGGTTTTACAGAGAGCACTCAGGTTATCGCCGAATAGCGCCTTCAGGACCCCACCGAACTCAGAATCAATACGGAGGTCTTTACTAAACAAGGTCGTGCAAGGCGTGGGATTGCCTGGGAGGCGTTCCATGACGTCAGTGACGATCGCTCGCATGATGGTTACAGGTTCCGGTTGGCACGTGTGGCGGTGGTCGCCTTTCCCGGTTCCTGCTTGAGAGGACGCGGGAGTAGCTGGTCGGTCTCTGTCGTAGAGGTCTTGTGTCTTGTGTCGATGGCGCTGTCGCTGCAGTCCTGGGCCAGTCTGGGTACCTCGAGCGTCTGGCTGCTGCGTGGCGGCTGTTGCCGGTGGGGCCATGCTGTCTTCTGGAGAAGCGTCCTGGGTTCCTATCCCTTCGTTGGTGGAACCGCGTCGGTGCTCTCGGAGGACCGGCTAGCTTTCTTCGTTACGTTGCTTGGTTTTGGGTTTCTTGGAGTGCGCCTGGGCCTAGTGTGGCTCGTTGCGGTCGTGTGTTTTGTGTTCCTTGTTTCTTGTGTTTGTGTCTCGTTTCGTTTCGGGGGATTCGTTGCCGGCGGGGTCCTGAGTTCGTGGGTCCTGGGGCGTGTATTGGCTGGCTGTGATCACCGGCGTTTAGGGCGGAGCGTTGGTGACCTTGGAGATGGAAGCGGGTGCGATGCGATGCGATGGCGCATAGGAAATCCATCCCCACGATGACTTGCTCTAGCATATTTGGTAGTACTAAGAGCGGTAAAGCCTGGGTTATCTCGCATGCTGAGCCGTCGGCTAGGCGGATCTGGATGCACGCCTCCCGCAGGTCGTTGTTGTGGTCGAGTTGGCGGGCGAGGCTGGCATTGATGAAGCTTCGCGGGCAGCATGTCCAGCTTCTCCGAAACGGTGGCAGGCCGCGTTTGGTTTGGCGAGGGGGGGTGATCATTCGATGCGTAGCTTCCCGGGCTGGAGCGCCGGCGTGGTGTGGCCTCCTTGTGGGTTCCACTGGGGTTTTCGGAAGGGATTCCGATTCACCCCGCCTTCGCTTTCCGCCTGTGGCGCCGTTGACCGCGCGTACCTGAGGATCTGTCGAGGGGAATGGGCGTTGCCAGGATATTCCGCTCGTGTCTTCCCTCGTATAGCTGGTCCGATGGGAGGATGTTGTCATAGATCCGGTTGAGCTCCTTAGCCGCGTCGTACCCGGCATGGTGCTTAAGCAACCGGAGTTCGAAGTACCGGGGAGGCAGGAAGAAGGTCAGGAATTCCTGACGAAACTCAGTCGATGAGGCGCTCTGTAGTCGGCTGTAGTCTGGCCCGTCCTGGTGATCTGGTGTACTATCGCTCGATCTCCGCCAGTCTGACCCAGGCGTCGTGTTCGAGGGGCCCGGTTGTTCGGCGAAATTTCTCCGCAAATCTTTCACGTTACCCTCGCGGCTGAATCCGAATTCCTCCGCGAAAGATTTCAGCTCCTCTCGGCGGCGTTTATATTTCCAGCGTGTACTCACCCCTGGGTTTGTCACCGGTCACCCTGGAACAAATTCTCCATGGTGGTACTCACCGGGCTGTTCCTCTGTGTGGGATTCAATTGCTTCGTTTATTGCTCGCGTTTGTTGTCTCGTTGCGCAGCATGCACCGCTGGAAATTGTGCGAGGTCTGGGTTTTCTTGGCGTTATTTTTCCCGGATCTCTAGAGGCCGTGGGTCTTTAGTCCTCGGTGCCTCGGCTAGTTGGCATGAACTTAAGCAATATTTAACACTTTATTAAGAATATTTTTGCTTGAAAGAGCACCAGGAAACAATGCGACAGATACTTCAGCAAATTGCGAGCGCAATATCCATTTTTGGATTCTTTTATTATAGCCAAGAAAATTGACAATTTACTAACTAAAAATTGTGAAAATTCACAATTCCGAGCAAAACTTGGAAATTTTATGATCATCAGATTGCTTTTTGACGGATGGTATATGGTGGCTGTTGTCATTGTGTATCGGGATTTCACCTCTGTCAAAAATTCGCCAAGTATGTGCTTAGTGTGCAGAGCCTTTAAACGATGGTTTTCAAATGCAACACTAAAAAACAATGCATGACAATAAAAAATATTTACCGCCTAGACATATCTTAAGTTCTATTTTAAATATCAAATCGCTAAAGACCAAAAAAATTAAAATAATTCATCGGAAACAATACAAAATGGAGAGTGCTGAAAGTGGTGGTGGTGAGTTTAATCAATTAATGTATGTATGTATGCATTTGTTTTCATTTTAATTCAACAACAAATACACGCAAATTGCTGTGGATTGCGGAGATGGAAAATTTTGTCATAAACATTTGACAGGACAGATCCACTTATAAGTACAGTTTTATTATAACCAATTAAATTGTGAAATATCACAATTCATGCAAATACTTTGTTAATGTTTTCGATGGATTATTTTTTGATGAATTGTAGAGGGTGGATGATGCCAGTGGGAGTCGAGGTTTAACATCTGTCAAAAGTCCCCCGTTCCATGTAGATGCGCTGTGTGGGGAAAACGCTATTAAGGTTGCACCTTAAAAGCATCGCCTAAATATCGCATAGAACCGTGCGGCTTAGAAACATCCCAGAAAACGATGGTATATGGTCGCAATGGGAATAGACCGCTGCTACCATATGTATATCGTGCTCTCACCTATTGGTCTATATAACTAATACCAGAGCTCGAAAATATGCTCAAGCAATTTTTTCTATGCTTTTTGCTTGCCGAAAAGACTGAGAAGAATCAAGTAAAATCGATCACTCTCTCAACAGACAGAGTATTAGTTTACTCTCGTGGTTTCTCTTTTATGCTGATCTGCGAGAGAAACGCATGCAGCTTTCTTATGAAAACACGTTGAAGAAGAGACCGTCGTTCGGTGCTCAACAGCTGAGAATTATGCTCAAAATTGTATTTTTTGTTGTAGTTGATGATGTTGATTTGTATTTGATCGCAGAAAAAGCACGTAAGACGAAGGGAAAAATATGTACACACAGACATACATTTGCAAAGACACTTTTTTGCTTGTATCTTTTCGCTTTTTTTTATGAATTTTGTATGCCTTCCTGCAAAAAGGGACCACTTCTTGCGAGCTCTGCCCGATACTGACCCCGTAAACTTTATATATTATTAATCAGCACCAACAGCCTAGTCGATGTAGCCATTTCTGTCTGTCCGTTCGTGTGCAGACTCCTGTGATATCACACTGTTACAAGTGTATTTAAAAATTTAGCCCCGGTCCCCGCCACCATCAGGGACAAAAATTTGTTGCGTCATTTTAAAGATACGAGAAAACCAAAAACGCATATCAGATTAATATTGTAGCCAGCAGAAATAAAATTAAATTACAGTGGCTACGCAACGCCTTTCAAGCTCTTACTCATTCCTCCTATCGGGTATAAATGTAGAGTTGCGGCCCCAGACACGGTTCTCATCCCTCCCGCTCGTTATTGCTGGTAGCAACATCCTACGAATTGTTTCAAATGGTCTAGTGGAAACATTATTGAATTAGCTCAGTGTCTGAACATTTATGGGAGTGCCCTTACTCGAACGCAAAAAGTATCAAAATGATTATTTTCTACACCGATGTGGACTGATTTCTCAACTATCGTGCAGTTTATGGTATCGCAATTATCTTCCATCCGCAATTTCTCTAAAAGATGATTAATGTTTATGATTTTTGAAAGCCGAAATTATCTTGAAATTATGGGGAAAGTTGAAGGTAGTATTAATAATTTTATATTTCATTATGTAGCTATTATAAATTTTAATATTTAAGATCGACGCTCAAAACGCTCAAAACGCCAAAAGCCAGCCAGATTTGCTTCTCCTACAGATTCATCTGTGGCAACCAATAACGAGCCACCGCCAAACCTCGCTCAAGAGATTCAAAAATCTTTCCCGCCTGTGGAACATTCTATAAAAAGGGAGGCCCAGACTCGAAATGTGAATATCATTGATTTTGTAAATAATCGCACAAGACCGGCGAACACAAAAAAAACGGTGCAGGCCTCAACATCGCCTAGTAATGCAATGAAGAAGATTAAACGACGACGAAACAGTGATACTTCTAGTGATGAAGAACGCTGGCTTAATGCCATTGAAACTGGGAAGCTAGACGATGTCGATGAAGAGTTAAAAAAAATTAAAGACCCCAAATTAATGACAGCTCGTCAACGAGCTATGTATGAACGGACACAAGATGCTGATACTAATATGATTGGATTTGTTGAAGAACTGATTGCACTACCCAGTGGATATAAGGAAAAGGAAAAACCTCAAACTGCGGAAGAAATCCAAAAAGCAGCTTTAAAGTCGCAAAAACGTAAGCAACAGGCGGACGAGCGTCGCGAAAAAGATAAACAAAAAACCATGGATCGCTTGCTGAAGAAACAGGAGAGCAGTAAACAACGCTCCGGCGTTCGTAACAAGCAAACACAAAAGCCTTCGCACCCAAAACTTACATATATGAATACTATTGAAGGTTCCTACATCTTGGTACCTCCAGGTCATGAGTTTCCCATGGAAGCAAAAGTATCACGCCCTCCGCCACCAGCTCAGTTTTGCTGCATTAGTGATTGCAAAAATCGTAAGGCATATTCCTGCTCCAAAACCAATGTTCCCCTTTGTAGTCTAGTTTGCTACCGTAAGCATCTAACAGCCGCAAAACTAGAACAAAAAAATCCAAACCGTATTGTTTAAATGTTTTTATACACCTGTTTTTATTGATTCAATAAAAAATTATTTATGATTTCCTGCTGCTCCGTTTCTGTACGTTGCAAGTACTGGTACTCGCTTTTCAAACGCTCTAGTTTGACTGTCTGTTCCAAAATCTTGCTCTGACAGACTTGCTGCTCAGCTTGTCGCTGCTGCGACATTGATTTAAGTTGGTTTTGTGTCCCAATTGCACGGAGCTTTTCCACTTCGACGTCTTTAGCAAAAGTATTTGATATTTTATAGAAGTCATGAATTAATCTTTTGAACTGTTGAAGGTTTCTTGAATACTCCAGGCATTCATGTCTCAGCTCTATTTTTTGAGTGGCAATGCTGGGATCCTGAACTCGCAGTCTGTAGATATCGTCTATGAACAATCCAAATTTTTTCAATTCCTCCATTTCGACTATTGTAGGAAATATTAACAAAAACAATCGATTTTTGTTTGAGTATAACCCCACATCCAAGCACTCTGGCATATAAACATTTCCTGTTATGGCAAGCCTTCGTTGTCACAGACAACGAACAGTCATACGTACATATGTATGTACATATATGTTACAGCTACACAGATGACACTATGAAACACCACATTTCCGATGTGAACCAAACCGACATTTTTTAAGGATTTGGGGTCTTAAAACTGTTTAATGAGTTTTTTCTGGGTGCAGTTTTTTAGTTTGGTATTTATTTTTTTTTTACTCTTTTTGCCAGAGGTAGTCCTTTTTTCACATAACTTAAGTACATATATTGCATCTGGTTGTATTGAACTTTGCAATTCTAAAAAGCAGATAAATGCAGCTTTAAATCCTAACCTAGCTTAAGCTGAAAAATATTTAACATTCAAAATGTATCATTTTTGTGGTATATTTTTAAAAAATTTCGACTTTGAAAACTCTGGAAAAGGTGAAGTAAATGCATTCCTTGTGTTTTTGTTGCATAGATACATTAATTCGGTGTCAGTAAAAAACAAACAACCAACATAAGAAATTAATTTTTTCGACTTTTGCCAAGTTTTCAAAGCAAAAATGTTACAAAAATACAAGCTTTCTTTGTGATTTATCATATCTGGAGTTAGTTAGTTATTCGATAGTTAATTGGCACCTGGCCGCCAGGCACCTCTAGCCATGGCCCTGGTTCAGTTCCCCCGACTCGGGAAGACGCTGGACCATTGTCTTAGCTAGACACTGCATTATCCCGGGCGAGGGGAATGCACTGTCGCTTGCTCTGTCCGGGGTAATGCAGTGTCCATTGCCCAGCCGACACCCTCGTGTAGGCTTCAGCTAGAGAGTTTTTGCCAGCCATAATCACTAATAAATCACAATGAAAATTATAATTTCAGATTTCTTATCATGATAGCTACTTATTATATTTCATTTTTTTTGTACTTATTCTATATTACATCAGTCGGCATCATTGGGAGGCAGGGTACCAAAACGTCTTCTCCTTCATACTTTCCTTTCAATATGATTGCTTAATTTTTTGAATCGGTTTTCGTGTGCGGTTACAAAGTTTCGGTTAGTTAATATTTCGCAACATTATAACTACAGATACAACCTTCAATTGAAGATTGTGAGGCGGCAATCCTGGCATATAAAGTGAGTTTAAAATATTCCGGTGGATAGTTCACGACATCATGTTTATTAGTAACCGTATCAACTGATTCATACGTCCTCATTTCGCCAGGAATGTCATCTTGAATTTTGAAATTTAATTCATTTACATCATTGTTTTTCGCAGCTAGTATAGCTCATTCGCTCAACCAATCATGGAACAAATAGTTTTGAGCAACATTTGGAAACACTTTTTGAATGAATTCAGCTTTTGATTGCGTTAACTTACAAAAACACTCAGGAAAAGAGATGCAGCCAGTATTCACATCTATAGGAAATTGGCCATTACCATTGCTTAGAAAATATATCTCCAGATTGATCATTTTGCAAGATGACACTCATATTCTTGTTTAAATGTAATACCTTGAAATGTTTCTACAAATGGAGGACTTTAAAGATTGCATTCACTTCATCACTTTGCATTGAACGTGGAACCACTGGCAATGTTTTCCGAAAATCTCCTGATTATTTGCTGTTTATTTCTGTTAATTTTATTATAATTAGGATTGTATTTTGTATTTTTGATTATAAAATAATATGAATTATTCAAATTATGTTGTTTGCTGTTACCGTTAAAAAAGTCACAGGAAAAAAGTCACAAAAAAAAATTAAAAACATGCGTGTCCTCAAGGTCGAAGAATTTAGAGGTCCAGGTTTCTAGGATAGAGCTCCTCATAGATCATCCTGTTGCGCAGGTCGACTGGGTGTTTTCTGGCCAGCGTACGCCGGTATCTGGATATCGCAAGACGCCTCGCCAGTACATTGGTGTGGCTTCTGAGCTTAAAATGGCTCTTCGCTTGATTTTACGGATATTCCACTCAGCTCCGGAGATCCTACGCAGAAATTTACTCTGGAATGTCATGATCCTCGCAAGGTTAGGCAGGGTCAGGTATGGCTTTGTAGATCATGACTTTGTTATTAAAATTGAGCTTGTTACTTTGTTTAAGTAGCTAGAACATTTTCTGGTTACGCTACGGATGTGACTGTCGAAAGTTACACGTGCATCCAGTGTAACTCTGAGGTATGTGTGATTCTTATGCAGCTCCACGAGTTTCCCAACCAAGAAGACACCAGGGCTAGAGTCCATTCTTAAAGTACTCTGTACTACTGTGTCGTCAGCAAATGTTACCACCTTGAGGGCCTGCCCTATTTGCCTTCGGACAGTAAAGGGATTTGGCATGTCGTGGCTGAATAAGCAGTGCAGTGTCGGCCCAAACTCGCTGCCTTCCGGTACTCCTGCGACAGCAAGTTGATTCTGTTCGTTCCGTAGATCTAAAGATCTAAAGACCCTAAAGATTTTTTTTGCGCCACCGTGCATTCATCCCATACTATTAGTGAACATTGCTGCAAAAGCTTTGCCATTGCCGAATTCTTGGAAATGTTACAGGTTGGAATTTCGTTGCATTGCATATTCAATGGCAATTTTAGAGCTGAATGGGCTATTCGACCGCCTTTAATCAAAGTTGCTGAAATGCCTGACGAAGCAATAACTAGAGCAATTTCATTTTTTGAGCGAATTAGAAGTCGAAGAAGTAAATCCCTGCAGCTCCATCATTTATTACTTTCCTAAGACTATAAAATACATTATTTTTATTCTTTGTTCTATAGTGGAAGATTTATTTGAATCGGTTCTTTCAAAGTATTGAAATCATACGACTTTTCACGTTGTAACTCTTAATGAAAAGCATCGTGCATTGGGCGATTAGGCGCGACCATCCCCAATTGGTATAATAGCTTGTTTGACATCATCAAGCACATATGGAATCAATGGAAATCAATGCCTGATTATAAATTTCTTCACCTTTTTGTAAATTAAGATTTTAATTTTTTTAAATTTTCTCTCCGTACGAAAAATTTTTGTACATCAAGGAATATTATAAAAACGAGGGGGAACGTTCTAAGTTGCTGCGGACACCGCAACTCTACAGTTATACCCGATACTAAGTCAGTATGGCTCTCCTCCGGCAGATGGCGCTAATATTAAGCGACACGACAAAGAGTGTGTGCGAGAAAGACAGAAAATCAGTTTGAGCGTGACGTCGGACGCTGCGTAGCCAGTGCAAATTGGTTTGTTCCTCTTGGCTATAAAAATGACCTGATCTGATCCAGATTCAGCAATCTGATAGATATGGTCGTTATCTATGATTCTGCGTTTTTAGTTTTCTCAAATCTGCAATATTGTGGATGCAACAGATTTTCGTCCTTTGTGTGGGCGGAAGGGGGTGGGGCGAAATTTTGAGATAAACGTTTTATAGTGAGATCTAACAGAAGTGCGGATACCAAATTTGGTTACTCTAGCTTTAATAGTCTCTGAGATTTGTGAATATCCCCAGATTTGCATCCTTTGCGGGGGCGGAAGGGGGTGTGGCGAAATTTTGAAACAAACTCGTCTCGATCCGATATATTAGGAGTGTGGATACCAAATTTGGTTGCTCTAGCTTTTATAGTCTCTGAGATCTAGGCGCTAATGTTTTACTCTAAGCAAAGCCGCCTATGCTACCTGTGTGTTAGAGAGAGTCAGGGCGAGAAAAAATGAAATTGTTTTCTTGATGCTGGCTATAATAGTAATACGATCCAATTCAGATTCTGACAGAAGTCTGGATCCAAAACATCGTTGCTCTAGCTCTTATAGTCTTTGAGCATTAGGCGCTGAAGGGGACGGACAGACGGACGGACGGACAGACGGACAGACAGACATGGCTCAATCGACTCGGCTATTGATGCTGATCAAGAATATATATACTTTATGGGGTCGGAAACGATTCCTTCTGGACGTTACACACATCCACTTTTACCACAAATCTAATATACCCCAATACTCATTTTGAGTATCGGGTATAAAAAGAATTAGCGCAATCGGTTCAGCTGCTCCCTAGATTTGTACTTTGTAAAACAAGAAGCGATTCATTTTTATATTATATTTTTGGAAGGAAGTTTCCGACTCCATGAAGTAGTATATATATTCTTGATCAGCATCAATAGCAGAGTCGATATAGAATGTATTTCTGTCCGTCTCGATCTCAGATCTCAGAGACTCTAGCTCTAGCTCTTAGAGAATCCAATTGTTGTATCCCAGACTCTTGTGCTGGTACAAGCGTATTTCAAAATTTCGCCCCACCCCCTTCCGTCACTACCAAGGACAAAAATATGTGGCACCCACAATTTTGAAAATTTCCGAAAGCCGAAAACGCAGAATCGTAGAGAATGCCCATACCTTCTAGGATGCTAAATCAGATCGGATAGATAGCCACAAGGAACAAATGATATTACATTGTCTTCGATAGCGTAGTCACGCGCTTACTCATTTTCTGTCTCTCTCTCACACACTATTTGTCGTTCAATGTGGCGGAGGGGTGCCATACTGACTGAGTATCGGGTGTATACATATGTATAGCCGCGGCCGTAGCTGCGACTCACAATTCCCGCATGTTTTTCGAGTCTGCGGACTTAGAATTTCTCTCATTTATTAAAGGAAAGTTCGCAAAAGTCAGAAGGAAATATTTGATGTGTTCATTACCTGTAATTTAACTGTAACTTTTACTTTGGCTGTGTCCTGGAAGCCTTATAAGGGATTGATATTATGTTTCTAGTTGGTTCTTGAAAATAAGGTTTCGTTTTATGAATAACGAGGGTGGTCTGATAAGTACTTGGCGTACAAAACAAAAAACCAAAATTTTGGAAAAGTGGCGATTTATTTCTCAATATAGTCTCCTTTTAGGTCGATATACTTGAACCACCGATGCTCCAAATTTTGTAACCCATCTGAAAAATACGTTTTTTAGAGGTCTGTAACGTAGGCCGTCTTGGCGGCGACGCCCTTCTCATTCTCAAATGTATGTCCGGTAAGTGACTTTTTTCAGTCAGGGCCAAGACTGGAGATTTCGGCGGATGGGGCAGTACGCAGTGCAATTCGACCAATGTGGCCGTGGCGACGGTGGTGGTGTGAGCCGATTACAGTCTTCGCCTTCTTCGGAGCATGTTCACCGGGTAAAGTCGACTTTTTCGCCTGTTCCTTGGTCTCTGGTGTCTACCATTGGATTTATGTTTCAGAACGACACAGAAACTCCTTCGGATTGCTCTTAAACAGCGTCAAAACACTGCTCTGAAGTGGTTTCACTGTTGCGCTTTTTGTCCGGAGTGAGAAAACGCTGCACCCATTACGCCGACAGCTTTCTCATGCCAAAAATCACATGCACGATTTGACCTACGTGTTCTTTTGAGAGGCTTATTGATTTAGCTATCTCACGCACCTTTGATCGGCGGTTTGCCAATACGAGATCGAGGGTTTTTGTTATGTTGTCCTCCGTTGAAGCCATTTTCGCCACAGCATCCAAGCGCTCTTTAATTTCGCTCCGCGATTTCCCATCCAAAAATGAGAATCGATTCATAGCCCGATATTACTCATTTTCCATTTGTAGAAAATCGGCGGACAAGCCCGCTTTCACCCGTGGTCACAAAAAAAAAGTACGAGTCTGATTCGGCTGAAATGTTGACAGTAGCCGTCTAAAAGATTGAGCTACACGAGAGTAAATCTTCTTTTGCACCATCGGGCAGTGAGGCTAAGTACTTATCAGACCACCCTCGTACATAAATACATTAGCTTGCTTTGATAAAGCGTGATAAGTGGTATTTTGACTGCTGTCTTCGTGTGTGGAGTGGTGATTGGTAATCTAGTTGGATCTGTTAGGACACTGAAATTTGTACATAGGTTTTGATACCAGGATGGAATTTGTCCAGACCGAAAGCGAGAGTAGAGATGTAAATGTTACAAGGAAAAAATCTTGTTTATTTAAAACTGTTATTTTTATACCCGATACTCAAAATGAGTATTGGGGTATATTAGATTTGTGGTAAAAGTGGATGTGTGTAACGTCCAGAAGGAATCGTTTCCGACCCTATAAAGTATATATATTCTTGATCAGCATCAATAGCCGAGTCGATTGAGCCCTGTCTGTCTGTCCGTCCGTCCGTCTGTCCGTCTGTCCGTCTGTCCGTCCCCTTCAGCGCCTAATGCTCAAAGACTATAAGAGCTAGAGCAACGATGTTTTGGATCCAGACTTCTGTGATATGTCACTGCTACCAAAATATTTCAAAACTTTGCCCCGCCCACTTCCGCCCCCTCAAAGGGCGAAAATCTGTGGCATCCACAATTTTAAAGATACGAGAAAACCAAAAACGCAGAATCGTAGAGAATGACCATATCTTTTATGCTGCAGAATCTGAATTGGATCGTATTATTATTATAGCCAGCATCAAGAAAACAATTTCATTTTTTCTCGCCCTGTCTCTCTCTAACACACACGTAGCATAGGCGGCTTTGCTTAGAGTAAAACATTAGCGCCTAGATCTCAGAGACTATAAAAGCTAGAGCAACCAAATTTGGTATCCACACTCCTAATATATCGGACCGAGACGAGTTTGTTTCAAAATTTCGCCACACCCCCTTCCGCCCCCGCAAAGGATGCAAATCTGGGGATATTCACAAATCTCAGAGAATATTAAGGCTAGAGTAACCAAATTTAGTGTCCGTACTCCTGTTAGATCTCACTATAAAACGTATATCTCAAAATTTCGCCCCACCCCCTTCCGCCCCCACAAAGGACGAAAATCTGTTGCATCCACAATATTGCAGATTTGAGAAAACTAAAAACGCAGAATCATAGATAATGACCATATCTATCAGATTGGTGAATCTGGATCAGATCAGATCATTTTTATAGCCAAAAGGAACAAATCAATTTGCATTGGCTACGCAGCGCCCGACGTCACGCTCAGACTGATTTTCTGTCTCTCTCGCACGCACTCTTTGTCGTGTCGTTAAATATTAGCGGCGTCTGCCGGAGGAGAGCCATACTGACTTAGTATCGGGTATAACCGTAGAGTTGCGGTGTCCGCAGCAACTCACAACGTTCCCCCTCGTTTCTATTCTTCTATATATTTAATTGCTTGAGAAAAAAAGCTAAAACAAAACCAATAAAATTTTGGTTTCCTAAAGCGAGGTCAAATCAATATGAAGAGATTCCTACCAAGGATAACAATAAAAAAATTAATATTTACCAAAATGTATATATATTTACACTATAAAGGAAGCTACAGCTTTGCTTGGGGTGCGGTTTTGATCAAAGGCGACAGAATCATTTTACAGCTACAGGATATAACTTTTTTAGTTATTCCAAGTTAGTGTGGTTGTCCAGGTGGATCCGCACGTATTTAGATGACTTGATGGCTGTGATAGCTGGCCCATTTCTTTATGGGGTCACCCTCCGTTTGAAGGTATATATTTTCTTTTTGGTCTGTCATTAATTTATTTTGATGTTATTTTTTTAACCAATATAATCAAGACACAAACATTTTCGGAAGTTTGAAGGTTGCTAGACGTAGAAAGCTATTCTTTACCTTTCATTTTTAGACCCTTGAAGACCGTTTTATAAAAATGAGCAAACGTTTTTTTAACATAGAATTTACATTATTTTGTTTACTTGCTAAGATTTCATATCAGTGTTGGTTTCTACATATTTATACTGGAAAACGAATCATATATGTATCCATAAATATTTGCAAGGTTATGCGACAGTTCTTTTAATTTTATTTGTAAACAGTTTCAGATAGGGTTAATTTTTATTTAAAAAATTATATTAATGAACTATACATCCGATCGCGTTTTATACATTTACTGACGCTAGAAGTCAGCAACGAGTTGAACTTGTAGATAGGCAACGCCATCAAAACTAAGTTTATAAAAAACCTATGCGTGTCATGTGGGGTTGTTCCGTTTGTTTGATCGCAACCGCGCTAGTCCAGTTCGCTCTTCCTCTTCGTCGCTTGTATACTGATGCATGCTTGTTCCGCTAACACCCCCCACACGTACAGAAGATGTGGCCTGCATTAGATCTTGGTCAGGGGCGTTTCGATTCTCGTATAGCAACACTTGAAGTGTTTCTTCGTAAATACGTGCCTCAGGAAATTCCACTTTAGTATGTTTTCGATCAGTTGCATAAACTATAGAAGTACAACACACTTCAGCAACCTTTTTTCCGTGCCCATAAAAGGACCAGCAGCATATTTCACTTGGTCCTATAACATCTTTGATGAATAAAATGCGTTCGTTGAAACGCAGAGAAAGCTTGTCGAAAAGTTCAATATTTTTTAATAAATTGTCATCGGATGTGCTTGTGTATGAATACTTGTTGTTTTGTCGCTGCACCACTAAAATAACAGCCGGTTTCGAAGACGCGCTGATTAGAAGTTGTTCCTCTTTTTGCGAAGTTATCAATGGAATGCGGCAAATAGGTTTTGGCTCAATGTGTGCATATAGTGCCCGTTCACATGACAATGCAAGCTCGGTAATGCAGTAGTATTTTGATTCTGCAAGTAGCTCAGCTATTTCTTTGTTAGTTTCGGGTAATGGGACACTGCCATCGCGCAAGAAGTTCAGTATGATTCCAAAATGGTTTCCACAGCGATCTATTAGTATCCAACCTGCAACGTGAATTTTTGTATACATATTACAGAATAATTTCAATGTAAATTAATTACCTTCTGAATCAGTTAGCACCTCCATGCGACCACTAAACATAGCGCTTAGCATTGTATCATTATGCTTCGTCAGTGTTCCGATTGTAGTATAATATAAGCGACCACCAACATTTAGCTTGACATACTGAGACGAATGCCCTTTTAACAGCACTTTCTGATCACCGGACATGGCTTCAGACTGCTTGGCATGAAGCACAAGTTGGTGGCTACTTTCTGCAGGTGCCAAAATCACTTTGTCTTGTAGAGCGGAACCCAGGTCTTCAATACAGCAAGCTATTTCTTTTGGTGCACCTATGACACCAACGCCCTTTTGTTTGGAGCTTTGGCAAACGCTATCTTTTGCGTTGCTTACGCTCGCACAATCCTCAAGCGCTAAGGGATCAATTTTGACGAATGTATTAGCCACGATGAAAAACTAAATCCAATTTGATTACAAAGAAAATCAGTTTGCAAAATTATCTCTACATCAAAACGGACAGTCAATAAAACTATATATCGATAACAAGTTATTTTTCCGATACTTTCTTTATTTTCATCCCTGGCATCGGAATATTTTGTCTAGCGCAATATAGTGAATTTCCTGTTATGAATTTTGAATAATTTAATTATATATTTTATTTGACAGTTTGCCATATATACGCATGGGGAAAAAAAGGCGCACTCTAAAATGTCATGCATTTGTGACTTCTCTAGTTTTCACAAATGTTCATCTATTTGTCTAATTTAAAATATTTTTTTTTGTTGCTAAATCAATTTAATTTCAAACAAAAGTACATACTCATTTGTTTTTATCACAGTCATTTACGAAGAAACAACATTTTTTTCTAAATATCAATTTTGTTAAGCTTCTTCGTTCATTTTGAATAAAGTAAAGAAAAAATTAATTTTAAAAAGAACGAGGGGGAACGATGTGAGTTGCTGCGGACACCGCAACTCTACAGTTATACCCGATACTAAGTCAGTATGGCTCTCCTCCGGCAGACGCCGCTAATATTAAACGACACGACAAAGAGTGCGTGCGAGAGAGACAGAAAATCAGTCTGAGCGTGACGTCGGGCGCTGCGTAGCCACTGCAAATTGATTTGTTCCTTTTGGCTATAAAAATGATCTGATCTGATCCAGATTCAGCAATCTGATAGATATGGTCATTATCTATGATTCTGCGTTTTTAGTTTTCTCGAAACTGCAATATTGTGGATGCCACAGATTTTCGTCCTTTGTGGGGGCGGAAGGGGGTGGGGCGAAATTTTGAGATATACGTTTTATAGTGAGATCTAACAGGAGTGCGGATACTAAATTTGGTTACTCTAGCTTTAATAGTCTCTGAGATTTGTGAATATCCCCAGATTCCCCGATATATTAGGAGTGTGGATACCAAATTTGGTTGCACTAGCTTTTATAGTCTCTGAGATCTAGGCGCTAATGTTTTACTCTAACCAAAGCCGCCTATGCTACGTGTGTGTTAGAGAGAGACAGGGCGAGAAAAAATGAAATTGTTTTCTTGATGCTGGCTATAAAAATAATACGATCCAATTCAGATTCTGCAGTCTAAAAGTTATGGTCTTTCTCTACGATTCTGCGTTTTTGGTTTTATCGTATCTTTAAAAATGTAGCAGTGACATATCACACAATTCTGGATCCAAAACATCGTTGCTCTAGCTCTTATAGTCTTTGAGCACTAGGCGCTGAAGGGGACGGACAGACGGACGGACAGACGGACGGACAGACGGACGGACAGACGGACGGACGGACAGACAGACAGGGCTCAATCGACTCGGCTATTGATGCTGATCCAGAATATATATACTTTATGGGGTCGGAAACGATTCCTTCTGGACGTTACACACATCCACTTTCACCACAAATCTAATATACCCCAATACTCATTTTGAGTATCAGGTATAAAAATGTATGTAAAAATGCTCTCTTGGTTTGTATTTACACAAAAATGTTGACATATCACCCAGTCATACCGAATGGTTTTAGGTAACATATATATCAAATCAGCAACGCGATTTTCAATATAAACCTTTCCAGGGCTATCAAACGGAAGTTAAGTAAACAAATTAATAAAATAGTTTGATATTAGCTACCGTATCAACTAGATGCGCTTTTTTTTGCTTGTTGTTCGTATTATTACGATATTATTATTATTATTATTATTATTATTATTATGCACCATAGTAATACTCGGCTTAGACGAGAGCGGAGCGGACGTAGTCCTAGTCCAGCAACCATGACATTTTACCGTCGCGCTCCACATTTTGCCTCATAAGTTCTAGGAAATCATACCCTGGTTGTTTAAATGACCGAGGAGTCCTACTTGATCATAAGTTGTGTTTTATCACCCATATAGCCGCAACAGTAAATAAAGCTAAGGGTGTTTTAGCGTTCATTAAGCGTTGGTCCAAGGAGTTTGGCGACCTGTACGTGGCGAAACAACTGTATATCGCGTTAGTACGTCCTATATTGTTCTTGTGTGTGGAGCCCGCAGTGTAAAGAGCAGCAGGTTGTTATTGAATCTGTGCAAAAGCAATTTTAATTTTTGCGCTTCGTAACTTTAACTGGGACTCGGGTAGAATCTTGCCACCCTACCGGTCTCGGCTAAATCTTATTGACCTGCCGTCCTCACACCATCGCAGAATATGCAATGGCGTTATGTTCGTGCACAAGCTCCTAATTATAATAAGATCTGGCGTCCTGGACTAAAATATCACTACGGAAAACCCGAGGCCACATACATGCTATAAAATCAGAAATAGAGGAAACATCAGAGCCCGCAGGGCTACGCAAGATCCCCGCGAAAACTACCCACTAACTCCAGTGAGGAGTCCCTAACCATTTTATTAGACACGCATTTCTCCCGGGTGTACAACCATCGAACCGGCATACCTCCCTAGAGAGGGAGCGGTAACTTCGATGGATCACATCCACATGCGAAGTTGCAATTATTTTCTTGGGGAAATACCTCCAAACACTCCACTACTTCCACTCCACTACACTCCACTCCAGTATCGAGCGGACTGACAGTATTCACAAATAAATAGTAGATCCCTCTTCTAACACCCCCATATTAAATTGATGCAGGATATCCTTCAGCAACAGTGGCATTTACTTATGGTTGGTAATTGGCAAAAAGTTGAATTGGAACTATTTAACCTCCTTATCATTGATAAGTTATCTTCCCAAAGTTTTAACTAATTCACGACTCCTAATGTATGCTGATGAAGTCAAGCTATGTTTTTCCTACAGCGATCTGGTAACCTCGTTATTTCTTCAATCAGATCTCGACGCTCTCAACAATTGGTACATTATTAATGCTCTTCCTCTTAAAATTTCCAAATTTAACGCCATGACCCTCCATCGCAACAAGTCTTACCTTTTTGACTTCACAATTCATAACATTTCCTTGGAACGCCTATACAAAGTTAATGACTTAGCCATTATTTTCGTACATAACTTATGTTTTAGTTCCCATATAAATATATTTCGAATAAAGCCAAAGGAGTCCTTGTCTTTATCAAAAGATGGTCGAAGGAATTTTCTGAAACCAAACCACTAAACTATTCTATACCTATCTTGGAATATGGTTCCTGTATCTGGTCTCCCCATTACCAAAAATATCAAGATATGCTCGAGTCCGCTCAAAAACAATTCCTTATCTTTGCCCTGCGCGGACTTAAGTGGTACCCCTCTCGACTCTCATCTTCCTTCTTATGAGAGTCGGCTGCGTCTCATGAACTTGCACTCTCTTGAAAGCCGTAGGACTTGGAATTCTGTTTCTCCACAAACTTCTCCTAGGCGACGTTGAATCTTCGGCCCTCATTAGCCTTATCAATATTGCCTGTCCCATCCCGCCCGACTAGGCATTACTATCCTCTGCGTCTTCCTGTGCTTCGAACTACTCTGACCATGAATCTTTCCGTAGCCTTTGCCGCGACTGTTTGTTTATATTTTTTTCCTTTGATACTTGTGCTTCCAAAGTAAAATCTTCTTTAATGAAGAATTTAATTTAATTTTATGATTTGTACATTCTTATTTTTACAAAGTTTAACTGTCCATAGTTGAACTCTAAACATTAGACATAAACCTGAACGTCAAAAATAAAGTGACGAAGGCCACGACAGCGCTCTATACATGTACAAAATCCATTTTTGTAAAAAGGGGCACCAACCCTAGCAATAGTTAGGCCAATACTACACTACGGAGTTACTGCGTGGTGACCGGAGCAATTGAAAAGGACCCCGAAAAAACTGGGCAAGTTCAGCGAATTGCCGGCCTATGCATCAGTAGAACTCCACCCCAAATGATGCGCTAAATGCTATCTTATTCCCCCAAAGACTTGACCTTGCAGGAAAGGAGCGGGCAGGCATGGCAGTACTTCTGAGAGACTCCGACCAACCGACTCCTCTAGGCACCACAGCACATAGGTCACTCATCCATTTTAATTAATAGCAATATCGTCCGTTTAAAAACATTCTACCGAGTTCCAAAAGAGTACACAGATACCCCCTTCAATACATTTATTCCTCACAGAGACAAATGGCTCGACTGACTTCCAGGCCCAGATGGGGCCATACAGGCCATACACAGATCACTGTAGTCATATCAATCAGGAAGCGCTGAACTGCCTCCAAGCAGAAACCGTTATAACAACTTGGATGAACATTTATAGCGACAGCTCAGATGCGATCGAATCACTAAATTTCTCAGCGATTTGCTATTAACCTTCTATGGGTCCCGGGCTACTGGGATATTGAGGGCAACCACAATCCCCTTTCTCCAAGACAAGGAGGATATTCATATGCCAATTGCCACCTGTAAGCTTATCATAAAAGAGCAAAGATTAACAGAAGATTATTTGGCAATTAGTGCCACGATGTCGCATAACTTGGCAAATATGACCGACCATGGAAGCTCTGCAAACTAAGCTAAATAAGGTGCAGCGCAGTCAGTTCAGGTGCAGTTCCCTATAAGAGCTAGAGCAACCAAATTTGAAAACCGCACTCCTGTGATATCGAACCTGCACAAGTTTATTTTAAAATTTAGCCCCAACCCTTTATGTTGAAAATCAATCAAATTTTGTATCCATACTCATGTTAGATCTCATTATTACGTGTGTATTTCAAAATTTCGATCCGCCCCCACAAATGACGAAAGTCTGTGGCATCGACAATATTGAAATTACGAGAAAACTAAAAACGCACAATAATAAAGAATGACCACATCTACCAGATTTCCGAATCTGGATCAGATCGGATCAGTTTTATAGCGAAAAGGAACAAATCAATTTGCAGTGGCTACGTTTAGACACGTTTTATTTTCACAGATAGAATTTCGCTTCCAATATTCAAACCCCAGGACCGAATTTTTGCTTCGACCTACTGGTATTTCATATGTGTAAGAAATATTTTTATTCAAATTGATATTTTTTTTTTGAGTTTTATGACGCCACTTTTACATTTGCTATTGGTAATCGTAGATCAGACCACTCCGTCGGGTACCTCCCAAAAAAAAAGACATAGGTACCCGAAGAGTGGTCTGACCGTGATAAAAAATAGATGTTGGCACACCCAATCGATAAGCACACAAAATTTCACGAAAATTGGTCGAGCTCCCTAAAGAGGGAGCGGTAACTTCGATGGATCACATCCACATGCAAAGTTGCAATTATTTTCTTGGGGAAATACCTCCAAACACTCCACTACTTAAAGACCGCAAAGCTTGCGGGACTGTCGAATGGACAGTATCGAGCGGACTGACAGTATTCACAAATAAATAGAAGATCCCTCTCCTAACAC